CTGCTTATTGTATATATAAAATACAAGAAGTTTACATCAGTAGTCCCATTTTCTAACAATGTATTTATACCATGTGCAAATATATACATAGATAGAGTGTAGCTTATATATGTACACACACACAATAATTTGCTTTTTGCACAACTTTGTATACATTTGATTGATTTGTATAACTTTAATGTACTTGTGCATCAAACACTAGGAATATACAAGTATTGGATCGGGACTCAGTATCGGTAGATACTCAATATTCAATTACTCGGATCAGGGGCACTAAAAACCTGATGGGGACATCCCTAAAATATATTTATTACAATGCAACACAAATATAAATTACAGTAACAAATCCACAATTACTTTGTGCAGTCACTATATAGGTTGCAGGGCATCCAAAAATCTGTGATTTGTTCATTCTCTTTAACTTTTATTTATTTGACAAAAGTACAACTAAAAGATTTCCAAAGCTTTCACTGACCAACGTAAATGTATTTTGTAAATATGAACACATTTTGATTTTGATGGCTGCAACACACTCCAAAAAATGTGGAACAGAGGCAAAATAAAAGTGAAAAGGTTATAGAATATCCACGTTAAGCTTCACGATTCCACCTGATGCATAAAAGGATTATTCAGTCATTTTGAGGGCTGTCAGTAGGACATTTAATCATGTTTATAACTGGGGTCTCAGAGATCCCGAAAACACCGTAAGGGTATAACAGCTCACACAAATTTTTTTTTCAGCTACCCTCGTCAATTATTAATTATGATCACATGTTTGTGTATTTTATATTATTGATAGATATGTGAATCCGTTGACCAAGCTATACATGACACGAGTTGCGGTCTCATTGGCACAAATTAATTTAGATGAGATTATATCAGATTAGATATTGTATTGATCCCAGATTGATTCCACTCTTGAATGTCACAGACTTCCGAAGCTTTTGGTCACATGCTTTTTCAAACCATCCACTGTTCCGCAATGATTTGTCAGAAATGGTGGAGACAAAGTCCGACCACCAGATGTCGCTAATGCACACTGTGTTAAAAGCTTCGAGTAATGAACCGTTTTTTGGCACAATTTCATGAAAGCCTCAAATGTTTCAGAAAGCCTCAGTTTCCCATCACTAGGTATAAAATTAGCATCTCAGTCTTTGCAAGCAAAGCTGGATCATGGCTCATCACTTAGTGCCAAATTTCACAAGACAAGTATCAAACAAATCAAAAATCACATTTCGCAATGCAAAATTGCAAAGAATGTAGGTCTTTCACCAAGTACCATACATAATATTGTGAAAAGATTCAGGGAATCCAGAGAAATCGCAGTACATGTAGGGCAAGGCTGGAAACCTCAGGTGAATGTGCTTGACCTTTGAGCCCTCAGCTGGCATTGCATGAGAAACCATCATCCTGCGGTGTTAAATATAGCCACATGGGCTCAGGAGTACTTCAGAAAACCACTGTCATTTTCCACAGTCTGCTGCTGCATCAAGAAATGCAACTTGAATATCGGGACCAGAGAAAAATACATTCCGATTTCTCAGTCCCAAAGACCGAAGGGACCATCCAGACTTTCATTAGTAAAATTAGTAAAAAAAAAGAAGCAAAGGCAAATGTCTGTCATTATATGGGGGTGCAGCAGAGCAAACCGCACGAGTGACTGGAATATGTGTGACGGTACCAAATACTGCTATCAAAATGATGTCTTTCACGGGAAGTCCATGACTATTATACATTGCTCGAATTGAGGGGGTCCCGGGTCCCGGGGTTCCCCTGGTTTTTCAATTAAATTATAATACGTTAAACATGTAACTAGTGAAAATGAAATGAAAAGTTTTGATTGCTGTATTAATTTAGACCTGCTCATGCTCTATCGTATTTCTTTTTACAGCGTTGCACATTATAACCAAATACATGCGATTCTGTTGAGATTAGGAATGCAATGGCCAATCAGAGGCGTTCAGATGAATCGTCGCTGAAACCTCAGAGTTCTGTTCACTGCGCGTGTGCTGAATTCATTCTGACTGAAACTCATGAATTCTCTCATAAACAACAAAGTGCAGATGTACGTACGATGCAAGTAAGAGATTAATTTATCATAGTGTATGGACAGCTTCATTGATTATAAGAGGAGCTATGGGTGCTTAAACACTAGCTAAACTGAGCTCCGTGATAATATTATTTAATGTGAATATTCTTTGCTCGCGTTCTCCATAATTTACTCAGTTTGAATAACTGTGGAAATGCAAGTGTTATAATTAGTAACTTAGAAAGTTTTTATTAAACTG